CTGATCAACTTCAAGGCAGTGTCCAGAAAACTCTCCTTCAAATATGAAGGAGAAATTAAGACATTTACAGATAAAGAAGAGCTGAGGGAATTTGTTATCACTAGGCCTGTCTTATAAGAAATGCTGAAGGAACTCCTTCAGATTGAAATGAAGGAAAAAGAAAAAGTAACCGAAGTCATGAAGAAATACAGATCTCCAGTAAAGGTAAATACATGGGCAAATACAAAAACAAGTATTATTGTATTTTTGGTTTGTAACTCTACCTTTTACTTCCTACAGAATTTAAAAGACAATGACATAAAAATAACTATAAATCTATGTTATAGTGCATACAATTTATGACAACAACATAAGGGAGGGAGGACAGAGATGTATAGAAGCAGCATAGTTAAAAGTTAAGTAGGTATTAATTTAATATAGATCATTTTAAATTTAAGATGTTATATGAATCTCCATGGTAACCACAAAGAAAGTCTCTAAAAACCATCACAAAAGGAGATGAAAAAAGAATCAAAACAGCTCACTAGAAAAATAGAAACTAAACATAAAAGAAGGCATAAATCAGGAATTCACTGGTCCAGTGGTTAAGACTTGGAGCTTTCACTGCCTGGGCCTGGGTTCAATCCCTGGTCGGAGAATTAAGATCCCACAAGCTGGGCTTCCCTGGTGGTGCAGTGGTTGAGAGTCCGCCTGCCTATGCAGAGGACACGGGTTTGTGCCCCCGTCCGGGAAGATCCCACATGCCATGGAGCAGCAAAAAAAAATAAAATTTAAAAAAAAAAAAAAAGATGAGTATTAAAGAAAACATCCCACAAGCTGTGCAGCATGGCCAAAAAAAAAAAAAAGGCGTAAGTGGATGAAATGAAGAACAATAAGCTTAATATATACAGAATACAAACAGCAAAACAGCAGGAGCAAGTCCTTCCTTGTCAGCGATTATTTTAAATCTAAATAAATTAAACTTTCCATTCAAAAGGCAGATATTGTCAGAATGGATAAAACAGCATGATTCAACTATATGCTGTGTACAAGAGACTCACTTTATATCCAAAGACATGAATAGATTGAAAGTTAGAGGATTTAAAAAGATACTCCATATGAATAGTAACCAAAAGAGATCAGGGGTGGCTATACTGATGTCAGACAAAAATGGACTTTATTTCAAAAACTGTTAAAAGAGACAGAGGGACACTATATATTGATAAAAAGGTCAATGAATCAGGAAGATATAACAACTATAAACATAAATTAACCACAAAACAGAGACCCAAAATATATGAAGCAAATATTAACAGAATTGTAGAGAGAAATATATAGCTCTACAGTAATAGTTGGCAAATTCAATACATCACTTTCAATAATGGATAAAACATCTAGGCAGATAATTTATAAGGAAAATGAAAACAAACATACAAAATACCATAACTTATGAGATGTAGTGACACCAGTGCCCAGAGGTAAATTTATAGCTACATTAAAAAAGAGAAAAGATCTCAAACCACTTTGTGGATTTAGACATCTTGTGGAACCAGAAAAAGAAGAGAGAACCTAACACAAAGCTAACAGAAGGAAGAAAATAATAAAAACTAGAACAGTGATAAATTGAGAATAGAAATTGAGAATAGAAAAACAATAGACAAAACCAAAAGTGGTTATTGAAAAAGATCAACAAAATTGACAAACATTTATCTAGAGTGACAAAGGAGAAAATAAAAAAGATACAAATAACTAAATCAGATATGAAAGTGAGGACATTACTACTGAACTTACAGAAATGTAAAGGATTATAAGAGACTACTATTAACAACTTATGCCAACAAACTGGATAACCTAGATAAAACGCACAAATTCCTAGAAATACACAAAGACCTAAACTGACTCAAGATGAAATAGAACATTTCAACAGACATGTAACAAGTAAAAGGATTGAATCAGTAATCAAAAACCTCCCAACAAAAAAAGTCCAGGACCAGATGGCTTCACTAGTGAATTTTACCAAACATGTAAAGAAGAATTAATACCAATCCTTTTCAAACCCTTCCAAAAAGTTGAAAGGAAGGGAACACTTCCTAACTCATATGATGAGGCCATCATTACATTGATATCAATTCCACACAAAGGTATCACAAGAAAGCTACAGATAATACCTCTTATAAATATAGATACAAAAATCCTCAACAAAATTCTAGCAAACACAATTCAATAGCATATTGAAAGGATTATACATCATGACCATATGGGATTTACCCCAGGAATGCAAGAGTGGTTCAACATGGGAAAATCAATCAATGTAATACGCCACACTAATGGAACAAAGGATAAAAACCACATGATCATCTCAAAAGATGCAGAAAAGGCATTTGACAAATTCCAATATCTTCTCATGATAAAAACACTCGAAAACAAGGAATGGAAGGAAAGTTCCTCAAAGTTATAAAGTCAATAATGAAAACTGCATAGCTAACATCATACTCAATGGTGAAAAATGGAAAGCTTTCCACCTAAGATCAGGAACAAGATAAGGATGCCCACTTTCACCAATGATATTCAATATTGTACTGGAAGTGCTAGCCAGAGCAATTAGACAAGAAATTGAAATAAAAGGAATTCAAATTGGAAAGGAAGAATTGTAACTATCTCTTTGCACAGATTATATGATTATATATATGAAAAATCCAAAGACTCCACAAGAAAACTACTAACGTTAGTAAACAAATTCAGTAAATCTGCAGGTTATAAGATAAACACACAGGATTCAGCGGTTTCTATCCATGCACAATGAACAATCTCAAAACGAACTTAAAGAAGTAATTCCATTTAGTGTTTTAAATAATGAAATACTTAGGAATGCATTTAACCAAAGAAGTGAAAGACGTGTATGCTGAAGACTACAAAACATTGATGAAAACTAAAGAAGACCTAAATTAATGGAAAGACATTCTTAGTTCATGGGGAGGAAGACTTAATATTGTCAAAATGACAATCTCACCTAAGCAATCTACAGATTCAACACAATCTCTATCAAAATTCCAATGGCGTTTTCTTCCAGAAATGGAAAGGTCAACACTCAAATTCACAAGGAGCCCTGGATATCCAAAATAACCTTAAGATGAAAAAAAAATGGACAGCTGAGATTTCCAGATTTCAAAACTTATAAAAAAGCTACAATAATTAAAACAGAGTGGTACTAGTATATGGATTGACATATAGACCAATGGACTAGAACTGAGCGTCTGGAAATAAACCCATACATCTACAGCCCATTGTTTTTTGACAAGGATGCCAAGTCCATTCAACTGGGAAAGAAGAGTCTCTTCAACAAATGGTACTTGGACAACTGAATTTCCACATGTACAAGAATTAAGTTGGACCCCTACTCCACATCACATACAACTATGAATTAAAAATTGCAATCACCTAAATTTCAGAGCTAAAACCATAAAACTCTTGAAGGAAACACAGGGTAAATGTGCACGACCTTGGACTTGTCAATGGATTCTTAGATATAACACCAAAACACAAGTAGCAAAAAGAAAAAGAAAAATAAATACGTTGAATTTCATCAAAATTAAAACTTTTGTGCATTAAAGGACATTATCAAGAAAGTAAAGAGATAATCTACAGAGTGGGAGAAAATATTTGCAAATCATGTATCTTGATAAGGATTTAATATCTAAAATATATAAAGTACTCATCAAAAATAGGACTCAACACAACAAAAGGACAAACAATTTCATTAAAAATAGGCAAATGTGGGAATTTCCTGGCAGTCCAGTGGTTAGGACTCCACGCTCTCACTGCCAAGGGCCTGAGTTCAATCCCTGGTCAGGAAACTAAGATCCTGCAAGCTGTGTGGCACAGACAAAAAAAAAAAAAAGGGGCAAAGGACCTGAATAGACATTTCTCCAAAGAAGATATACAAATGACCAGTAAACACATAAAAAAGATACTTAACATCATTAGTTACTAGGGAAATGCAAATCAAAACCACAATGAGATGTCACTTTATACCTACAAGGATGGCTATAATCAATAAAACAGAAAATAAGTGTTGGTGAGGATGTGGAGAAATTGGAAAACCTACACATTGCTGGTGGGATATAAAATGGTGTAGCTTCTGTGAAAAATAGTTTGGTGGTTCTTCAAAAAGCTAACCAGAGAATTATCATACAACCCACTAATTCTACTCCTAGGTATATGCTGAAAAGAATTGAAAACAAGTTCAAACAGAGATTTGTACACCAACGTTCATTGCAGCATTATTCACTATAGTCAGAAGACGGAAATATTCCAAGGGCCCATAAACAGATAAGTAGATAAAATGTGGTATATACATAAAATGGAATATTATTCAGCCATAAAAAGGAATTCATGCTACAACATGGATAAACCTTGAAAACATTATGCTAAGTGAAATAAGCCAGTCACAAAAGGACAAATACTGTATGATTCCACTTATATGAAATCTCTACAATAGGCAAAATCATGGAAACAGAAAGTAGATTAAAAAGTAACCAAGACTTGGGGGAGACAATGGGGAGTTATTGCTTAATGGTTACAGTTTCTGTTTGGGGTGATGGAACATATTTATAAAGAGATAGTTGTGATGGTTGCACAACAGTGTGAATGTAATTAATGCCACTAAATTGTACACTTAAAAATGGTTTTTAGGGACTTCCCTGGTGGTCCAGTGGTCAAGACTCCATGCTCCCAGTGCACGGGGCCCAGGTTGGATCCCTGGTCAGGAAACTAGATCCCGCATGCCACAACTAAGAGCCTGCATGCCACAACTAAGAGCCCACATGCTGCAAATAAAGATCCCATGTGCCGCAACTAAGACCTGGCATAGCCAAATAATTAAATGAATAACTGTTTTTTAATGGTTTTTAAAATGGTACATTTTATGTTACATATATTGTGTATACATTATATACATATATATTACCACAATAAAATATTTTTTAAAGTTAGTGTTTAAAAAACTAATAAAATTCTTTTACCTGTAGCATGATGTGATTGCAAATAATATGATTAGAAGGTATGCCAAGTGAAACAAGGGGATCACTGTCATAGAAGTTGGCTCAAATTCCAGTTGTCTAGAAAGTGATGTAAAGTAGACCATCTGCCACAAAAAGATACTCAGATAAGTAACTTTTAATTCCGATATTGTGTGTGTTACAAATGATATTGAAACACTATAGCTTATTGACTGAAACATTAAAATTCAGTAAAGAATCAAACTATGTGGATTATGATTTTAGAATAAAGAAGGTAATAAAGATTTGCTTCTTCCCACAAATCTCTGGCATGCTTTCCAAAGTTTATTTCAAAAATCTGAAGTTTAAAACTCCTGAATATATGAAATCTGAATCTTATATAAAAAAAATCATTGATAACTATAGACATTTTGGCTTTTCTAAATTTTTATTAGGTTGTTATCTTTTACTATTTTAACTGCACAAATATCATTTCATTAAGGACTGGGTATTCAAAGGCTTTTTCCAGAAGGTGTCTCACTTTCACCAGTTTTGTTCAGAGTATTAGGTTTGCCAGCCCAGCAATTACTGAACAGCTAACATGTGCCTGGCACTATGCTATAATTTACTTTTAAAATGCTCAGCATTCTTTTTCAACAAAACCATGGAACTTTTGCTTATAGATTTTTTTTTTTATTCCACTGAACTCTAAACAAATTTTAGGGGGCTCCCAGAAACAGCAAAGACTTTAACTAAAAGTAAAAATTTCAAAGTAATTTGACCAGAAAACCAAATTAAACCTTAAGATCAATGTCTGTACTGAACAGAACAACCTTGAGGATGTACAATTTGTGTTTTTCAGCAAAATGTTACCAAGGATTTAAGATTTCTGGCTTTTTTTTTTTTTTTTTTTTTTTACGTCTTAGCTCTCTTTTTTATTTTATTTTTAAAAAATTTTGTTGTATAGTTGATTTACAATTATGTGTTAGTTTCAGGTGTACAGCAAAGTGAATCAGTTATACATAGGCATATATCCACTCTTTTAGATTCTTTTGTGGCATTCTTCAGTGCGCTATGTTAAGAAAGTTGGATTAAGGACCAAATACAGCAGAACACACCCAGCTTCAAGTCAAGGGCTCCATCAAGTAATTAGGGAGTGCTGTTGGAAAAGTCTTCTTATCCCTCCCACCTTCTCCTGGCCTCCCTGTAAAGCCCCAGCCGCTAGGTACCTGGATCTTCTTCAAGGCCAGACTCTTTTCAAGGTTGCCAACTTGGTTCAGGAAGTGGATCAGCCACGCCTTGCTGCGTTCGCTGTCCTCTCCTTCGCCAGTCTTCAGGTAGTACTGCAGCCGCATGGCTTTGGCCTCCAGGAGTAACTGGCTCAGTCCCATGCTCTCGCCTAACACAGTTCCTCCAAGGATGTTGGCCAGGTACACGACCTGGCCGGCTAGGCTGTAGATGGGGAAGGTGATGTTTTTCAGGTTGAGGACACTGTTCGTTTTCCAGGCGAACAAGAGTGGGTGGAAGGGTACACAGTAGCCCTGGTTCTTCGAGTACACCTCATTGTAGAGGATCTGGGTTCCGTTTGCCTGTGTCACAGTCAAAGCCTGAACCGCGTCGTCCACTTCACTAATTTCTGATAAGATTTCTTGTTCCAGCAGCGAGTTGGTGTTGGAGACCACTAGAATGGAAGCATAATTGACCCCGGTGCTCTTCCTGGCGATGGAGAAGAGATTGGAGTCGTTGGCGGTGAAATGTCCCTGCACGAAGCGTCGCTCAGCCTTGGCGGGGCTCCCTATCGGGGTGTACTGCTCCTCGACGTCTTCTTCTTCCTTGGGCAGGTGAATCAGGCCAGCGCCGAGGACGGCCGTTAAAACCATGGGCAGCAGAAAGAAGATCCAGGGGTGCGAGCCCACCTCCCATCCCAGCCGCCGGAAGGCCCGGGAGAGCGGCACCTCCAGGCAGGCGGTGTGGCAGCGGGGCCTCTCGGACACTCCGTTCTCAGACTCCGACGCCGGCAGAGGCTGCGACTCCGGCGGGGCCCCTGCGCGCTGCCCCGCAGCCCAGCCCAGCTCGAGCTCCTGTCCCGGACCCGACGCCGAGACCGGCTCCGGCTCGGGCTCTGCAGCCGGGAGAGGCTCGGAGCCGGGCCCTGCCGGCGGCTGCGGCCAGCTCTCCGAGTCCGGCCCCGGCCCCGCCTCCGGCCCCTGCGCTACGGGCCCCGGTTCCTGCCCCGCCTCCCGCCCGGGCGCCGCCTCTGGCGCAACCTTAGCTGCATTAAGGCTCATTTCCGGGAAGGAAAGGCGACGTTCTCAAACAGGACAGCAGATTGGAAGGGCGCTGCTGGACGGAGCGCCCATCTCCACCCACCCGACGGTTTCCTGGAGAAATTCTGAGGGAGTCTGTTTGAGCCCAGGCTGCTCGCGCCCGGAGGCTGGAGCTTCGCTGGCGGCCACATGGTAGCCTAACCAGCCCCAAATGTGTCCCTGCGCCCAGCCTCTCACGATTCAGTGAATACAAGAAACACGTGTTACAGGCGAATGGAATCGTGCCTGTCCTACAGGACTCACAATTTATTGGCAGAATTTGGCTGGTTCAGGGTCGCCCCCCCGCACGCGCGCGCGCGCGCGCGCGCGCGCACACACACACACACACACACACACACAAATGGCACAGATATGTCATGTGTTCTAAGTGGCAGCTTTTACCTTTGGGCGGATCATCCAGAAGCATGGTTCTCAGGGTAAGGCTTTGGTGAACCTGGTACACCTAATTTAGTTGTTTTTATTCTTTAACTACAGACATAACATCCTCCTTGTAAACAGTTAGAAGTAAATGCATAGAATGAAAAGTGGAAAAGAAGAAAATAACCCAGAAGCCAGCCCTAAAACTCCCTTCTGCCCCATTCCTCCTCTTAACGGAAGTGTTAAAAAGTGGGTGTTTATCCTTTCAAACCGTTTTCTTTGCATTTGCAGGCATATCAAAATATATGCAGGTATATCTTTTCCATGAGTATTATTGCACTGTGTATGCAGATTACATTGTTCACCAAATATGTCAAAGGATCTTAACATGACTGCATGTAGAGTTATCTTACTCTTTTGAATTGCTTTATAATTTTCCAGTGTATGGGTGAAACATAAATTAATGAGCCATAACCCTATTGATAGATCTGTGGGTCTTTTAGAGCGTTTTGCTGATATAAACAGTGCTAAGTGAATGAATGTCTTTTACTTAGAGCACAAGAACTATATTTGTGAGATGTTTTTGTAGAAAGGGATTTACTGGGCCAAAGGATATCCCCCCTTTTTTTTTTTTTGGCAGTACGCAGGCCTCTCACTGTTGTGGCCTCTCCCGTTGCGGAGCACAGGCTCCGGACACACAGGTTCAGCGGCCATGGCTCACAGGCCTAGCCGCTCCACGGCATGTGGGATCTTCCCGGACCGGGGCACGACCCTCAACCACTGCGCCACCAGGGAAGCCCAAGGATATCCCATTTTAAATTTCAGAGTTAATGATGAAATCCATAGAAGCTGTATCAGTTTACACCCTCATAAGCAGTGCATGAAGTTTTGTTTTGCCACAGCCTGTCCCAGAATGTCATTAAAATGTTTGAGTTGTGCCACTGGTATCTTATTTTGATTTTACTTTTTTAATTTGTTGCTTAGACTCACCATATTTCCTCTCTGGGTGAACTATCATCTTATATCTTTTCCTGGTTTCCCTTTTGGACTGTTAGAATTTTCTTCTTGATTATAGAAACCATTCATATACTAATGAAATGACCATTTTGAGCCATGAGTCTCCCCACCCCCCTACTCTCCCATCCCCATTTTGCTGGTTGCCATGCCTTCTGTTTGTAGTTGAATTAACTAATGTTTTTAAAATGAGTTCTGGATTTTGTTTCATAATAGACAGCTGTTTCCCTTCCAGTGATTATAATCTACTTTAAATTTTTAAAATTCACTCCTTTTTTTTATTACTGAAGTATAGTTGATTTACAATGTTGTGTTAGTTTCTGGTGTACAGCAAAGTGATTCAGTTATACATATAAATACATATTCTTTTTCATATTCTTTTCCATTTTGGTTTATTACAGGATGTTGAATACAGTCAATATCCAGTAGGATCTTGTTGTTTATCTATTTTATATATAGTAGTTTGTCTCTGCTAATCCCAAACTCCTAATTTACCCCTGCCCCACCCCCTTTACCCTTTGGTAACCATAAGTTTGTTTTCTATGTTTCTGTTTCAAAAATAAGTTCATTTGTGTCATATTTTAGATTCCATATATAAGTGATATCATATGGTATTTATCTTTCTCTTTCTGACTTACTTCACTTAGTATAATAATCTCTAGGTCCATTCATGTTGCTGCAAATGGCATTATTTCATTCTTTTTCATGGCTGAGTAGTATTCCGTTGTGTATATGTACTACATCTTTTTTTATTCATTCATCTGTCAACGGACATTTAGGTTGCTTCTATGCCTTGGCTATTGTAAATAGTGCTGCTGTGAACATTAGGGTGCATATATCTGTTTGAATTAGAGTTTTCTCGGGATATATGCCCAGGAGTGGGATTGCTGGATCATATGGTAGTTCTATTTTTAGTTTTTTAAGGAACTGCCATGCTGTTTTCCATAGTGGCTGCACCAATTTACATTCCTACCAACAGTTTAGGAGGGTTGCCTTTTCTCCACACCTTCTCCAGCATTTGTTATTTGTAGACTCTTTAATAATGGCCATTCTGACCGGTGTGAGGTGGTACCTCATTGTAGTTTTGATTTGCATTTCTCTAATAATTTTTAGCAATGTTGAGCAGCTTTTCATGTGCCTATTGGCCATCTGTGTGTCTTCTTTGGAGAACTGTCTATTTAAGTCTTCTACCCATTTTTTGATTGGGTTGTTTGTTTTTTTTGTTATTGAGTTGTAATGAGCTGTTTTTATATTTTGGAAATTAAGCCTTTGTCAGTCACATCATTTGCAAATATTTTCTCCCATTCTGTAGGTTGTCTTTTTGCTTTATTTATGGTTTCCTTTGCTGTTCAAAAGCTTGTAAGTTTGATTAGGTCCCACTTGTTTATTTTTGTTTTTATTTCTATTGCCTTGGGAGATTGACCTAAGAAAACATTGGCATGATTTATGTCAGAGAATGTTTTGCCTATGTTCTAAGAGTTTTATGGTGTCATGTTAACAAGTCTTTAAGCTATTTTGAGTTTATTTTTTTGTATGGTGAGAGGGTGTGTTTTTTTGTTTGTTTGTTTTTTGCAGTACGCGGCCTCTCACTGTTGTGGCCTCTCCCGTTGCGGAGCACAGGCTCCGGACGTGCAGGCTCAGCGGCCATGGCTCACGGGCCCAGCCGCTCCATGGCATGTGGGATCTTCCCGGACCAGGGCACGAACCCGTGTCCCCTGCATCGGCAGGCGGACTCTCAACCACTGCGCCACCAGGGAAGCCCAGAGGGTGTGTTTTAACTTCCCTGATTTACAGTGGCTGTCCAGCTTTCCCAATACCACTTGCTGAAGAGGAGAAAATGTGCATTTAAATATTGATCCATCTGGAAATTTATTTTAATGTAATGTAAAGAAGTGACATTGAGTGCTTGCTTCAACCAACATCGTGCTACCTTTCCGTAATATGGAATTTAATTGAAACATGACTGCCCTATCAAGGACTACATTTTCTAATTCCTTTGACTTACACATGTGACAATGAGATCAGTAGTCGACTACAAAATATGCATGGAAGTGATGTGTTTCACCTATAGGCCAAGACCTTTAAGAAGTTCTCTGTCCCATCTGCCATCTAGACACAGGCAACAAAAGAGGCCATTTGGACTGTGACACCATAAGTTGGCAGGAACCTGGGTCCCTGAATCACCATGGTCAGGATAGGTACTCACTCACCAGGAACATGTACAGTGACTGTTACATGAGTGAGAAACACACTTTCATTGTGGTAAACCACTAAAATGTTGGGACTTATTTATTAAAGTGGCCAGTATGGCTTCACTAAAGAATCCAGTGATGAGATAGCTGTCCCTAAGCACTTGTGTCTGAGCACACTTCATTTTATTCAGCGAGCACCCTGCCCACTGCCAATGTATTTCCTGAGCCCTAGGGGACCAAGAACTTCTAGAGTTAAGTCTTCTCAAAAAAGAAGCACAGGACTTCCCTGGTGGAGCAGTGGTTAAGAATCTGCCTGCCAATGCAGGGGACACGGGTTCGAGCCCTGGTCCGGGAAGATCCCACATGCCGCGGAGCAACTAAGCCCATGCACCACAACTACTGAGCCTGTGCTCTACAGCCCACAAGGCACAACTACTGAACCCACGTGCCACAGCTACTGAAGCCCCTGCACCTACAGCCCATGCTCCGCAGCAAGAGAAGCCACTGCAGTGAGAAGCCACGCACCGCAACGAAGAGTAGCCCCTGCTCGTCGAAACTAGAGAATGCCCGTGCACAGCGACAAAGACCCAACACAGCCAAAAATAAATTAATTAATTAATTAATTAGAAAAGAAAATGTATTTTTTAAAAAAGAAAGAAGCACAGAGAAGAGGAGAAACGCTAAAAGGAACCAAGGAAGACAAAAGCGATTGACCCCCCTCATGAAGTACATGATGGGGTGATTGGGAGAGGGCAACCTAGATGAGTTTATCCGAGTCAAGGAGGTGAAAATGGGCAAGCTTTAGCTAAACAATGAACGGTCTGATAATTCAGTAACTCATTGACTTCATATTTCTGCCTATGCTAGACCTTCCACATCAAGATGAGAGGACTATGTTAGAAAACAAATATCTGAGCCCCAAATCAAGGGAAATTACAATAGTCCTTTGGTATCCGAGGAAGATTGGTTCCAGTACCCCCTGCAGATACCAAACTCCGTGGATGTTCAAGTCTTTTATATGAACTAGCCAGTACAGTCGACCCTCCACATCCTCGGTTCTGCATGGTTCGAGTCAACCGACTGAGGATCGAAAATCGGTTGGTGGAATAGAGGATCTCACCCACGGTTACGGATTGTAATCAAGGGAGAGCACTCAGTCCTAGCCAACAGGGCTGGTTTACAGGTTTTTCAAGAAGGCAAGGGATCAATGTAAGGGTCAGGATAAGAA